TGGCACTAAGGCCGACATATTCTCTTTTTTGGAAGGGACTGGTGAAGGTCAAGTCCTTGTTTTTTATTCAATAGACAGAGGATCTTTTGTCGCTGTTGATGGGCAATTGATGGATTTTTGGAAAGATGCCTGGTTGGGTGATACCCCATTGTCTCTTCAATACCCGTCTCTTTATAATATTGCGCGGAGGAAAGATCCTTCTGTGGCAGCTATCCTTGAGGCAAGTCCATTAAATATTCAGTTCCTTATAGCTCTGACCGGTGATAAATTGAGTTCTTAGGTTCATTTAGTGTGTAGGTTGATGTCATTCAACCTAACACAAGTGTAGGTTATATTTCGATGCAAATTGAATACAAATGGTGTTTACATAGATTTTGTCGCACAAGTAATATTTGGAAAAAAAAAGTACCAACAAAAATAAAAATATTCCTATGGTTCTTGCATCGGGGTGTAATCTTCACTAAGGATCATATTACGAAAAGAATTGGCAGTGCTACAACAAATATTATTTTTGCGATCAGGAGGACAACATTGAAGTCTATTCCTCTTCCGTCCTTTTGCCTCCATAATTTGGTCTACAATTTACCACCTCTCGCTAGTGTCACACAAATTGTTCCGAATCTGGTTGGGGGATGTCAACCAAACTTTAAAGGGATATATCCATGTGGGAGTATGTGTCTTTTTATGGACAATTTGGAATTGTCGGAACGATTTTTTTTTTAACAAAACAACTCTTCCAAAATATTTACAGGTCATCTTGAGGGTTGTCGCTTTGATCCATATGGGATCCTTACTTCAGCGCGTGGACACGCAGGAGCGCACTGCTATTGTGTGCTACCGTGTTGAGATGGTAGCAGATGGTTTACTCACCGATTTTGATAGCGAGTCAATAATGGGTATGTGTTTGAGCCATGTAATCCTGTTATTGTGCCTTGCGGCTCATTTTGTCCCATGTTTGAGTGGTTTCGACTTTGGATGATGAATACTTTCTTTTAATAGTTATGGTAGTGTGCATCGTAATGATGCAGAAGCAAGGGGTAAACCTCCTTTTTGAAAGAAAAAATAAGTTAATGAGCCATTTTGTTGGTAATTACATTCGTTGGAATGTGCAAAAGATAAAGTATCCCAATTGGGCAACCGATCTGCGCTTGTGTCAGTCACCCGCCATGGACACGGTGCCTCCATGTGGGCCCACATAGTGATCAATCCTCATGAGAGACGTCACTCGCACCTCCATCTAAGGCCATTCATAGTGGAGAGTAATTGAGACTAGTATCATGCATACGACATCAGTATATGTTTCTATCTTCATATTGCAAAGTAGCATAGATGGTTGCATTTAATTATTAACCTGTAGATTCATTTTTTAGGGGAAGCACCATGTGATGTTTTTTTTTTGCGGGGCAGAAGCACTATGTATGTTACCATCATCATCTCTTTCTTAATTTAATACTATGTCATGCCACTAATACTCCCGCTATAACTAGTCCCGGGCTCTCTCCTCTTCTTCCCTACACTCCTCCCAAATCAGGCTCCACTCTGTATGTGTGTGTGTGTCCCCAGCAGCCCCTGTTGCAAGCAGCGGCCACCGATGTGTCTGGCCCTGCAACGTGACCATTTGCTGCTTGAAGGCCCGAGGGCAATGCTGCTAGGCCGGTCATCCGCGTCATTGGCTGGTGATTGCGCAATGCTGCAACGATTGGACTTCGTTTATTGTGAGCGTTGAGGCGCTTTGCTACGAGAGGTGCCAGGAAGTATGCTATGAAGGTGACCAACAGAGTTGGAACCGTTGACGGCGGGAGCTGCAATGCTGAGGTACGACTGTCGGTGACAGTGTTGTGAGTAGTGCCTCCAGGTTGTGTGACAGCACAATGATGCTGCGAGTCCGTTTGACACTGCTACGAGAGGCGCACCACGGCGCTATGACTAGCGGGAGGTGAGCCGGCCATGCTTCGACTAATGTGCGATGATGTTGTGATCGGTGTGTGAGGATATTGCAACGAACGAGCGACGTGTGTAGATGTTGCGACCTGCACAAGGCAAGCCGGTGGCGCCGCAACTAGCACACATCGATGATGTGATTGGCACACGGAGATGCTACCAGCGACGTGCATCGATGCTATGACCGGTGTGAGGTGAGCCGGTGGCGCTACGATGCTGCAATCGGCACACGGCGAGCCGGTGATGCTTCGATGGAGGGTGGCAATGCTTTGAACAGTCTCGGTGATGCTTTTGTCAGCAAACCTGAGCAGAGGGAGTAGTAGAGGGTGCACATCGTACCATGAATAATGCTTTGTATTTGTAGTTACTGTTGAGTATATTGATTAGATTAGAAACATAGGTTAGACTAGAAAATATTCTGGCTTGCCTTGTACTGCAAGTAGATCATGTACTCTTATATATATGCCCACGAGGCTCAAGCAATACAATGAACTATTTCATCAAATCCCTCTCTCCCTTTTAACATGGTATCAGTTTCCGGATACTAAATCCTAGCTGCCACCGCTTCCGCACCCGCGCGCCGCCCCCGGGGCGGGCGACCTCCATGACCGCCGCCAGGGGCAGCGCCGTCCGTACCTAGGGTTCATCTGCCGGTCGTGTTGATTGGCTGCCTTAAATAATTTTTTTTCTCAATCACTTGATTCAGATTTCCTCTCGCGCCGGTCCTCTTTATCAACATTTTTTTTGGTTTTCCGATCCGTAGGTCGGTTTGCGTCGCCCACCGGCCCGGCGATCTACTACATGCCTCTCCTCCAACCTCATCGGCGACAACACCAGCCATCTTCAACAACGCAGTCTGATGCGGCCCGCGGCGCTCATGCCTGCCGCCCGCGCGCATCCGTCCTCTGGTGCGGCAAGTGGTGCTCGCGCCATCGTCCGCGCGCATCCGTCCTCCTGTCCTCGTGTTGTTCTCCATGTTTGGGAGTCCTCCACCGGTTGCCTCGTGGCGCTTCTTCGTGTGCGATGTGCCCCGTTGGCATGCACCTGGTTGCATTCACTCCGGATCCAGATTGGCATCCACGTTCTGCCCTGCAACTGGATGGCTGCAGGCCACACGCCGTGTTGGCTATTCGCGGCTGTAAGCGTCCGGCTTGGCTTCTCCAACGCCTGCGCAAGGAGGCTGGTTGCACGCGTCTTTGATGTCCGGCCGCACGACGCATGCCGCACATCGTCTCGTGGTTCTCTCCGCGACTGCACCAACCCACATGTTGCCGCTGCATCGTCTCTTCAAATCGTAGTGCCACAGCTCGCGGCCCACCGCTGTCCTGGGGCCGTCCGTTTCAAGTCGTCCCGTAGCTGCGTCGACTCTCGCGCCGCCGCTTCATCATCCCGTCGGGCCGTAGCGAACGTGGCACGCGGTTTTTGCCGTCGCCCTGAGGTCTTCCCCGCCGTTGCCTCGACCTGCGCGCTGCCGTTGTGTCGCCCCTTCAGGCGTAGCGCCGCGGCACGTGGTCCACTCGCCGTCCACGAGCGTTGACTTGTACGTGGTATGTGTCGCGCTGTCTCCCTAGTCGCGAGAATACCACCGTCCGCGCTGGTCTTCGTCACGCTGTCGAGTTCTTCCTCGCCTACTTCGAGCACCGCCGCCGTGCTTCTGACCTAGCCGCCGTCGCGCCGCCGCCGCCACTCTTCTTTTCAGTCCACGGCGACTACCTCGACACCGGCCACCCTGACTCGACATCAACCACAGCTTCCCTCGCACGGCTACCTCAACCACGGCTACACCACCCTACGCTCTCGGCTACATCGACATCGGCAGAAAGGGCTACCGCCTTGCTTGAGCAACCTCGTCGGTTTCCACTCCAGCCACGACTTCGTGATGCATCGACCGTTATGACTGTGGGGATGTGTTCATTGGCTTGCTTTCGGATTCTTCTCCAGTCTCACCGTCTGCGTCGCTACCGTTGTGACTGCGGAGGAATGTTGAGTATATTGATTAGATTGGAAACATAGGTTAGACTAGGAAATATTCTGGCTTGCCTTGTACTTCAAGTAGATCATGTACTCCTATATATATGCCCACGAGGCTCAAGCAATACAATGAACTATTCCACCAAATATCTCTCTCCCTTCTAACTTCTAACAGTTACTGCCTGTGCTTTCCAAGGAGTGTGATACCTTCTCCGCCACATCGTTCCTCCCTCCCCCTTCACACGCTATCTCCCTGCTAGTCGGTGAAATTTTGGTGATGCAGGCAAACAGTATCCGCGAGTGTCCGCAAAACCGAAAACAAATTAAACATTGTTACTTTAATATAACAGTGCAAGGCTTTTTTTTTATCTCTCAGACATCCGCAGACTCGCGAACGCTTGTCCGCTTGCATGCCTACTTTGGCAGAATAGTGATCTAAGAGCAAAGGGTCTGTTTGGATTGCAGCTGCCGCCTGTCCTGCCAATTTTTCGGTTGCTGAGTGCTACCACAGCTTCCGTTTTGATCAGCGCCGAAGAATGGGAACCACGCGAATTGTTCGGCAAGCCTGTTCAGATTTTGCGCCCATGAGTTGGCGAGATCGTGGCGGCGAAAACCTTCGCCAAATTTTTGGTGTGCCTATTTTGGCTGGGCTTGCCGTGTGTTATCCAAACAAACCCTAAAAATTATTGGATTCATGAGTCATGACACTGGTGCTTAATGAATTTCATATTGTTGGCCTAACAGGTGCCTGTGTCCCACAGATTATTATTTTTATTGGTAAGTCCAACTACCCTCTATTCAGAAGATTTCTTTTTGTTTGCCATACCAAACTATAAATCCAACCGACAACTATGACAGCATACTAAAGTCGATATATAGAAGTGCCGTTCAAAAAAAAAGTCGATATAAGTGTACCATTGACATGTACTAGTATATGTTTGCTGTTGAGATAATGGAGGTTAATGACATTATAGTCGAGACATGGCTACTGTTTAGGATTCTTTGACCTCCTGTCTGACACTCCGTTTGAGGTGGAGCACGTCCGTCCTCGATCTATTGAGCCTTGGTTGCCCTCCAATCAATCATACATGGGGGGTGGGAGCAACTCCGGCAAGCCTGGCGCGTCAGAGGCGTTGAGCCTCGTGTTCCGCATCGCGACGGTGGGGCTGTCGCTGGCGTCGGCGATCACGACGGCGGCCTCGACGCAGAGCCAGTGCGTCCACGAGGACTGCAACGGCGAGGCGACCGCCACCGTCTCCTTCGGCAACTACAACTCCTTCAAGTAAGTCAGTATACTTGTCCATGGACCACGCATGCACGGTCGTTTCACTTCTCAAGTTAAAGTACGATTCTTGATGCAGGTATTCGGCGCTGGCCGACCTGCTGTCGGCGGTGCTGCAGGGCGTGGCGATCTGCCTGGAGGTGGCGAGGAAGGAGAAGGCAGCCAAGGTCGTGGAGCTCATCGACAAGCTCCTAATGGCGCTCACGTCGACGTCAGCGGCGCTGCTGCTGGCCGTCGACGACATCACCTCCTGCGGGTCACCTCGCGGTGGCGGGCGCCGGCGCAGCAGACGCTTCTGCACCCAGGCCGGCAGGTTCTGCGGGAAGATCCGAGCGTCGTCGGCCTTGTCCCTCGTCGCCGCCGTTTCCGTTTCCGTCACCGTCTACACCAGGCACATCCCCGTAAGTTTTACGCTTAATCCACGGACTTCGACCTCAGCCGCGGGAATACCAAAGAATGGAGGCACAACAGCACCGCCACCAAAGAATGGAGGCACAACAGCACCGCCACCAAAGAATGGAGGCACAACAGCACCTACCCGAACCAAGTGTGGAGAAGAACAACCGTCCTGCACAGAAATTGGGACCCCACCATGCTGCGGATGCCCGACGTTGACGATCCCGCAAGGCTGCGAGATCGCCGAGCGGGTGGTGTCCCCGCCGTGCTGCGGATGCCCGAGGCGGACGATCCCGCAAGGCTGCCAGAACCCTGAGCCATGCGGCGCATTGTGTGTTTATGCCCATGAATAAAATTATCATCTTATGTTATAGTTTGTCTTTATTTTAGCAGTTTCTTATCTTATTAATTATGTTAGAAAACATATATAATAGGAATGTGTGCCATTATATACTAGTTTTTGTACCAATTAAAGGACCGATTTTGCATTTGCTTAGTTTGTACTCCCTACTGTACATTTTACTCCAAGTATTAGATTTATGTCAAGTTAAACTTTGTAAAATTTGATCAAATATATATTAAACTATATAAACATCTACAATGCCGTCATTACTAAAAAAAGTGAATGCAGATAGGACTTTTTCAAATGTGGCTTGCCGAGTTCCCTCTGCACTCATTACTAAATTTGCAAGTCGGAGATCGACAATTGGAGTATTAGGGTAAGGGCATCTTTAAAGAGGATTCTCAAATCGCCCGCAAGCATTCAAACTGCGTTGTCCAAACGCAATTAGCCATCCAAGGCCGTCCCCCAACGGTCCGCAGACCAGTCCCATTACCTGTTTTCTCACAAACCCAAACCAATCTACGGGGGGCTTTGCGGGAGCCTAGACCGCCACCATTTAGAACTCGGACATATTTGACCCATCCACAACCCCACCCGGGCCCCGCATTCCCATTCCATCCCTCTTTCTCTAGATCTGCTTCCTCCCTCACCGCCGCCGTCGCCGCTCTCCCATCTCGGCCGCCTGCTAAGCCCTTCCCGAAGCTCCGCGACCTCTGCCGCTCCACCCAGTCACCTCACCGCTTTGCGTACGCTGCTACTACACACCTATTGTCCGTCTGCCACGCAGGTACCATCCGCCCCTACGAGGGTCAACATGCCCGACAAGTGTTTGGTGAAATGTGTCTACTAAAATTTTTGTGTTCCTTCTTTGAAGCATTGGATTCGAAGCTGGAGTACATGTACGGACACTACGTTGAATCGTCCGACAAGGATGATTATGCGGACGAAATGGTGATGATGCAGGTGACCAAGAAAGCGTAAAACAACTGCTAGCTAGCACAAGTACTCGACAAAGGAGCATGACAAGAGTAGCAATAAACCATTTAAAGACCGACCTCGTCTGTCGGAATCCAAAATGACCGAGTAGCACTTAGGACTTAAAAAATTACAGCGTTTTTCCTCCTCGGCATTGGGTGGGGATACTACTGCTAGCCTAATCTACTATGTAAATTGATCCAGGCGGTAGTCCTGCTCGAACATCCGAGCATACTCCATCGCTCGGGAAATGTTTCTGCCCATCTTGACCTACTCGCCGTCATCACCTATGGGACCGACGTTGGTGATGGACTTGATATCGAGGTCGTGGAAGTGAGCATAGCCCAGGCCTAACGAGTGTGTTCCCAAGTAGCCGAGCACATCCACACGTCAATGTGGCTACCAGCTTCTCGGAGATGCCGAGCGAGCTCGAAGAAGTTCCCCAGGGTCGCCTGGTCGGACCAAAGCACGGGGGAGACGCCCTCCATTGCCGACCTAGCAAGAGTGTGCAGCTCCCCGAGCTGCTTGAGTTTGTCTCCCAGGAGGACACGCTGCATCGTATCAGGCTGGTGTAATGGGAAGTATCATATACTAGTATCATGCATGCATATGATATTAGTATATGATACTACCTCCGTAATGCATAGTATCAAAAGTTAGTATCTTAGGTGACCTTATTAATTGTCATGCATGACGCAAAGTAGTACAACATTTAATATGATACGGTATCATGATATGATACCACACCCTCTCTTTTTTTATTTAATTGTATGCCACATCATTCAAAAAGTCTAATTGGCATGCATGATAACGCTTATGATACTTCCATTACGACCAGCCTCATGGAATTCAAGCCAGAAGGCCCGGTCTTGCTCGTGGGCAGGATCAGAGTTGCCATTATAATAAGGGCATGCCTAGGTGGCACTTTTGGACAAATCGGCGAAGCCAGCTAACGTACACCACACTTGAGTTAGCTCGGCATATGCTTGACGTCCAAAAATACACTGCAAGAGATATGGCTTAGAGAGCAAGTACTTCCTCCGTTTCCAAATATTTGTCTTTCTAGAGATTTCAACAAATGACTACATGAGAAGCAAAATGAGTGAATCTACACTTTAAAATATGTCTACATACATTCGTATGTTGTAGTCGTTTGAAATGTTTAGAAAGACAAATATTTAGGAACAGAGGGAGTATAATAGTTCCCAGTTAGCTCTTATTGGATACAATCTCAGTTGCCTCCTTTAACTCCCCCTCGGCATTGGTCTGCCGCAACTTGGACTCTTTGATCTCAAGTGCCCGTTTCATTGCCTCCTCGGCTAGGGTATCCTTCTCAGCCTTCAACTGGTACTCTTATGTACACCCGTTGAGGTTGTTCTGGGCGACGACTGCCTAGTCTTGGGCTGCACGACACTCCTGATGCTCCTTTTGGAGCAGGTCAATCGCCTTTTGCGCATCACCCAGGGCATCTTAAACTTGCTTCTCAGCGGTGCGAAGCTGTGTTTCCAGCTCGACCCCAATGTGTGTGGTAATTGTGTCAAACAAATCATTAAAGCGGATTAGGTGGGGACTGGTGCTTTGGTCGAGGGCGGCCTACTCTACACGATTCTTCAGCTCTTCTGCTGCGCTGCCGGCCATCATGTTCAGTATGGCTTGGAGGCACTAAGCTTCAGTGATTTAACTGTACCTGCACTAGGTTTATGACATGTGGGCCAGCCATCTATTGGTCCCACATGTCGTACACCAAAAGGTGTTGGCCCCACATGTCGTACATCCAAAGGCAGGTGCAATAAGTCACCGAAGTTGCCTCTGGCTTGGAATGTGAGCATGGGAGCAAGGAGCTTGAGAATTTGGGGAACAAGAAGGAGCGCTTGTTGCTGCAATTCCGTCAGTTTTGAGGGTCTTCATGGAGATGTATCAATCGAGGTGTCTCTCGCTTAAATCTGTTTGACGAGATTGAAAAGAAAAAGAACAACACAAACTGAACCAACGTCACAAAATCATAAAGAATCAGTAATATGAGAGAGAGCATTTGGGGAGAGAAGGAGGCACATCTTGCAGCAATCTGTATATTTGGACGGTCTGTCTGCAAATAATCAAATGGAGGTACTCGCCACCATCATACAAGTCTATACTTGCCAATTCCCTCGTGTAACCATACATGTATTTCCTGCACCATATCCGTTCTCTTTTTTGAGATAAAACAAGAGATGGACTTATGATGATTTTGCCTCGACATTTATGGAAACACACGAAGAAGTGGTCATTACAGGAGTATAGATTGAAGATCGTCAACAGGACATTGAGAAACCACTGGCAGAGATCGCAGAGTGTTAACCATGTGCATAGTTCACTGGCATGAAAGAGCGCGTAGTACACCACAAACACATGACACATTCAGGTCGTACACCACCTAAAGTAGATCTTGAGCCCGGCACTCTCTCGACCTAGTTGCACCAATTTGAATGGGTGCAGACGGCTTACCTCCATACTGTAGCTCTAGAATATGACTTTAGACTGGACCTCAATGTCTTTTTTCGAAGAAAATTCCCAATGCATCTTATTCCGCGGAGGTTGCACCATCTCACTGCCGGTGACACCCATCATCCTCATCATTTTTTTCTCCCCTTCTACACTTGGTCAGTATCCCTCTAGCAACTACATATGATTTGCTGCATGCGAAACTAGTTATCTATATATCAGTGAATGGACATAGCGTGTGGCCTGCACATTATTTCTTCAACAAAAGTTCACATGCCAGTTGTTGTGGTCATTTACATCAAATGTAGTCTACGCAGGACAAAGTAGTCGACGCATACCAAAGCAAAGGCAAAACACTCATTTTTTTTAAGAAGAAACAGCATGAAAGTGTCCTACTACATTTATTAAAGAAGTTACACATATGTACGTAAATCAAATTTTTTATTGGTATTGGTTGATTTGCCATTCAGGGTGGAAATAAAATGGATACCACACCAAAACATGTATCTAAGTAAAAAAATGTGATTCTTATTTTCATTCTTTTTATATAACTAATGCAATCAATGTGAAGTCACAAAACCAACCAACCTTTTTTTTGTATCGGGCTATCCCTCTTTCCATTACTGAGAACGGAAATACATCGGTCTTATAAGACGGAAACAGGAAGCATGGAGAGGAAGGAAAGCGAGTTCTTTTTTGCGGGAAACTGTCGATCTATTAATCTTCAATCATGGCAGTACAACGAACATCAAAAATAATAAAAATTACATCCAGATTCATAGACCACCTAGCGACGACTACAAGCACTAAAGCGAGTCGAAGGCGCGCCGCCTTCATCGCCCCTTTCTTGCCGGAGCCGGGCACAACTTGTTGTAGTAGACACTCGGGAAGTCGTCGTGCTAAGGTCTCATAGGACAAACGTCTCAGAACAGCAACCGTCGCCGATAAAAAGCATTTTAGATCGGAAGGATCCAACCTGAAGACACAAGAACAAAGACGAATAAAGACCGGATCCGAGCGGATCCACCAAAGACAACCACCGACCGAATGTCGCGAGATCCGCCGGAGACACACCTCCACACGCCCTCTGACGATGCTAGACACACCATTAGGACGGGGGCTAGGCGGGAAGAACCTTATTCCATCTTCAAGAAGCCGCCGTCGTCTCGTCTTCTTAAGCAGGACACAAACTCTAACAAAACTTGAAGAAGCACTTGAAAACGGAGCCCTCCCGCTGGCAAGGGCCGGTATCCACCGTGCACCCATGGCCCTAAGGCCATAGGAGACGTGAAAGATCCGCGGCGCCGCCAACAGGAGGCAGAAAGCCCAGCCGCCTTTTCTTCGAGGAGGGAGAAAGGGTATCGAAGGAAAGTGAGTTCAACGCACTGTTAGAAAACCCACCGCACTTGCCCGACAACAAAACAAGTGCTATGGGGCGAAAACCTAGACAGCACCAAAATAAATCTAGACCTATTATAAAGCAGCCGACCCCAACAGGTCTCAGACAAATACCCAGGATAACAGATATACTACTGCTAACCAAGCAGCCACGGC